CGGGAAGGAGAAAAGGAGGAGGAGCAGGAGGAAAGTTTGCGTTCTCCCATGAAGAGGCAGTCGGAACACGCGCTCACCTGCACATAAACATTCGCAAATAAACACACAAACACACACACACACACATAGCTATAATTATGTGTGTGCGCTCACACAACACACACACACAAACTTAAGTACTAATGTACCTGTTTGTGTGCGCGTGCGTTGCATGTTTATTGATCGGTGTTATGAGCATCAGATATATTGGAAAATTAAACGCAAAAGTACACTACCAGAGACAGTCCATGAATGCTTGACCTTTTGTGTTGGTCTATAAATAGGATAAAAAAAAAAAACATTGCACACATATCAATACTATACTACAAATGGAAATCGTATTCCTCCTGTCTTTGCATGCTGATAATGCTGCGGTTGGACAGCGTATTAAACTAAGGCCATGGCGTCTCAAGAGAGACTAGATTTCTCTTGAATACAAATATATCTAGCGCTATATAGAGAAAACACGTGGCGTGTTTGTTGCAAGTGCGCTTAACCGATGCTGGCAATGCATTTATAATTCTCGCAATCCCAGGATAACGAGAAATTCACAAAGAGATACAGAAATGATTACCTTATCCGAAAACTCAATTATTCTATATCACATAAATTTCATGAATATTGCGTAGATTGTGACAGAGCACAAAACTACCCATTTTAATTTACGCCTAGCATGGCCGTGAAAATTAGTAACACGGGTAATGGGGCCGGGCAAAAAGAAGGCTTTGGGGCCTACTAATTATTATTGTCTCAGGGCGGAGTTCTTCCGGCGATAATTGTCCATTATTGCTCCTACCGGCTTCCACTTACCACTCCCTCAGTTCGTGGTTCCCGGAATGAAAGACTGGAAAGGAATTCACGCGGTGCTTTATATCTAAACGAATGCCTGGAATGCCAACGGTGGGAATGCCTGGAATGATGTCTGGGAATAACACCTCATAAACAAAGTAACAAAACAAATATATGGTGGCGTATGATTAACTTTGGCCACTGTGATATATCCAAATTCATTCCTGTTCAGCCATGCAGGTCGATGGATGGACAAATGTCCGGAGCTGCATATCAATGGCGCGGCAAATGTTCAGCCTGGATGACTTTAATTTCGTATATTGATAGATAAATAGACATAATTGTGCGCACATACATACACACAGACACACACGCACATACACAGACACAAACACACCAATATACACACATACACACACAAACACAAATACACACACACACACACGCATATATATATATATATATATATATATATATATATATATATATATATATATATATATATATATATATATATATATATATATATACATATATATATATCCCATTGAGACCATTAGTGAAGTATTCTGTACACGACTTCAAGGTGTCATGGAGAAGAAATTAATTTGAATTTCGCGCTGCCGCTTTGTTGACGTTCGATCCACTCCCTGAACATTTCCCGGGTACCCGCGGACGCTTTGTTTCGCGACGCATCTCCCGCTACAGTGGATGAGAAGAAACGCATCTTGTCTTCTCGTCAACAAGCTTCTACCTCCTGTAAGTAAACCTTGATTTACCCGTATGTGTGTTGGGTAGAAGAATTAGAGGTGTTAACCGTGAATTTGTGCGGGGATATAGCCAAAATCATCCTGATAAGAGCTGGAGGCAGGCTGTTGAACTTGCATGTACAGTGTTCTGCACTCCGGGTCTTTGGTGACAGTGATTACGCTTGGATATTTCAACTTGGACATTTAAATTTTGCATTTTGGGTTATTTCTTATTTCAATGTTTTCTAGAATATTCCTAGGCATATAATGAACAACTGCAAATGAGTAAAAATGAAGGAAACAATAATACTAAACAATATTCCATAAAACATAGAAATGTCATGTGACGAAGAGGATCATTTTTATAGTATACTAACCATCCGGCCTCTTGACGACCAGTATTCTGCGATAGATGAGTGTAGATAGATAATGAAGAGAGCTAAGACTGATGCCTTACTTAATAAGCTTGGGTCACTGCATGATTATGTAATCTCAATAACAGCAACAACAATGAAGTAGTTGATTATATTTTAGTCAATTTAGGTATTGCTCATTGTTCATCCGGGAGAGAGGTTGACTGGGATCTTAGCGACATCAGTGATGATGAAGATGACGAGGAATGGATGTCCTTGTCATGGACTTTACAGTCAAGCCTTTCACAAAATGACAGCAGTAGTGAAGAAGAAAACCAAGATAAAGAAGTAGAAGGAAACAACAAGAAACATGTTTCGTCTCAGAGAAAATATTTTTTAAGCATGATTCCAATTTTTTCTCAGCAAAATCTGATTTGGCCACTCCAGTTGAGCAGAGATTAGTTACGCCACTGAGACCTGTAGAGTATTTTTTGAGTATTGATGAGGGAATCATGGAGAAACTGGTACAGGCTACTAACCAAAGATTTGTAGTTGAACATGGTGGTTCAT